GCAGACAAAATCTGGAGCGGCTGTGCATGGCAACCAATCAACTTCTCTCTTTCATTTTCAAATCCTCACTGAACAAACTGAAGAGAGAAGCTAATTGGTTGCCATGCACAGCTGCTCCAGATTTTGTCTGCACAAGTGTTGATAAATTCCCCCCATTGTGAATAATACTCCAATAGTGGAACTCAATGCATAACTAAGGGGGTTATTCACAAAGCTGCCGAAGGCAGCCGAGTGAATAACCCAGACGAAGTGAAGTGAGCCGAACAACATACGTCTATTCACTACGGATCAGTACACCTGATTTCAGCTGTACATCGGCTGAAATCAGCCGTGCATCAGCTGCCATCGACTGCACTTCAATCAGCCGAAGGGCAGAAGGACTTCGACTCAGCTGATCCAACATCTGGAACTTGCTGCCGCTCGCCGATATTCACATAGGGGCCGAACGCCAGTGAGTGAATAGCCGAATGCAGCGGAGCGTGGTGCTGAGCAGAATAGCAAATAGTGAAAAAAGTAGGAAAAAAAAGTAGAATAAATATTTTACAACAATGTAAATAAATATTAAATTAAAAAAATAAATAAAGATTTTCTAAAAAAGAAAAAATAATAATAAAAAAAACAATTGGGCGGAGCTAGCAGTGACAGCTAGCTCCCCCCAACTGCTTCCTCTTGGCCGGCACCTGCTAGAGTGACGTCGCGGCCGTCTCCGTCCAGCTGTTATTGTTTAATGACAGATCAGCGTCCCCAGGTCATTTGGGGACGCTGATCTGTCATTACAACTGGGCAGAGCCAGCCGTGAGATCATGGCTGGCTCCGCCCAGCTGTCATTTGCGGGGCTTACAGCCAGCCCTTCCCTTTGGCTCAGTGAATAGCCCGTACAGCAGCCCTTCGGTTGTAGAAGGGCTCCAAGGGGCCGAAAAGAGCTGAAGGATCAGCCGCAGCTACAGCTGGATCCTTTGACTCCTTTGTGCATAACCCTTTAAGTGTAGCACATCACAACACTGTTGCTAAACATGGGTCATGTACATTTTTGCATCTGTTGGAGTGTGTTGGCAGCTCATTCACAAAAAATGTACTGCGTTAACACAACACACTTTAACGTGCTTTAATGTGTGTGCATTGACCCACTGCAACTAAATGCTTGTAAGCGTGAATCAACCTTAAGGCCCCGTTTACACTGAGCGATTTATCGCGCGATTTTTGCAGCGATATCGCTCATATTTCCAGGCGATATCGCTCTATGTAGCTTCTCCAATACATTTCAATGGAGCTGTTCACATCTCGTCGCTCAATATCGCTCAATATCGCTTGTAGCTCGTCGCTGGTAGCTTGTCGCTCCTACATGACCCTTTTTTAGAGCGATTTTGAGCGATACTGCTCCTGATTGCATACAGCCTAATAGGAAAAAGTCGCGCGACACATCGCGCAATATCGCTCAAAGTCGCGTGATTTTCATGTCGCTCAGTGTGAATGGGGCCTAAAGGATCAACACAATGCAAAAATAAGATGACTACTAAATAACTAAAACTTGATAAAAGTTCAGGTTATTAATATGTATATTTTTTTTATTTTTTAGAAAAAAGTAGAGAGGGCGCAAGGTAAGTTACCTAAAGACGATTCAATAACTGTACAAATGTAAATATATTTCTGAATATTTCCTTACCGAGTAGTTGTCAGGCAATAATAATCCATAGAGAATAGTGAACTATGATGTTGTGATTAAAATAACATGATTAAAAATAAATACACCTTTGTGGTAATAATATACAGTATATACATATATTACATTGTTGTCCTTGGTTTTAGATGCTCTATAAGCATCTCTAGCACACAATTAAGGGGTGGGTCTTGATCTGTTTTCTGTTGCTTTAAATATCTCTTACAGTTCTTGGGACTCTGTAAATTACCAACTTGAGGGCCCTAAGCGTAGTAGATACGCCTTGAAAAACGTCAACATAGTTTCTAGGGTGTATCTCCTACTATCATCTCTTCTCTCCCTGGTGCTGTTACCCCGCCACTATTACAGGCAATAACGGATGCCAAAATGCTGCCATTTCTATGAAAATTTACACTTGCAGGTAGTTTAGAAGTCTCATTGAGTAATACATATATTGTTAAACTAGTGTGACCTTTGATTCCCATGTGATATCAGTTAAAAAAAACTGTATTTTAAATAAAATGTATTCCTATTTAACCCCTAGTTAACCCTAATCAGCACTAATGAACTCCTTCCACTCCTCCCCTTAGCTATTATTTTTCTGCTGATTTTATTTTTCATTTTTTGCAATAATTATTTTACTTTTTTGTTGTCATTATATGTCATTTGTATATTGTTTTTTTTCAGTGTCACATAAAAATACACAACATTTAAAAAGTGCCTTTTTTGCATATAACTTTGCCATGCTTTGTACCAGAAACATAATTTTAGTTTTATTTTGAATGAAAAGCATCTATAGTTTTTATTCCCAGTCAAAATACTTTTTTAAAACTAGTACAAAAAAAACTATTAATTATTTTTTGTCTACAGATTACACAGAAAATAAAATAATTTTTGCAAGACACTGTTACCAAAAAAGAGCCTAGTTTCCCCATAAAATGATTTATGTTTTACTTTTTATATTAAAGAAGAATTCCAGTTATCTAAAGTTAACACTTGCAGCGGGGCTACCCCATGCACTGCAAAGGTTAACTGCTCATTTTTCTCTAGGTGCCGGAATACAGAAGATATGCTCGCCTTATTCTCGGTCATGCAGCAGTCGCCATTCACCTCTCTACCCCTCCGCTCTGGCTGTAGTATGTCCCTCTGCGTCCTAACATCTAATGCATGTGAACTAACTGCTTTACATGTGAAGATGTCAGTGGGGCTTAGACTGCCGGAGCACAGGGAAGAAGAGGCTCTGAGGCCCGATATAGCAGCAAGGTGGGATTGAGGATCAGATGAGTATATTTTTTTATTTGAGCCCCTAGACCAAGACGAGTGGTTAACCCTTGCAATGTGGGGGTAGCCGCACTGCAAGAGTTAACTTTTTAGATAAAGGGTCTGGTATGAATTTGGGGGGAAGCAGCACGCTGTTATTCTTTTTAATTTAGGATTTCTGTAGCCTTTCAACAGTGAGAACCATTACTGCATTCTGTAATAGCTCTCTGCTGCTTTGTTGACATTCGGGATGCAAGTCCCAAATGTCAACAAAGAGGCAGAGAGAACTGTCACATAATGACACACAGCTCTCCGCTTCTTTGTTCTGTTCCAAATGACATTCAGAAAACATTTCGGATGCATCCAAATTTTGTTATCAAAACAATTTGGATACGTTGGGATTTGTTATTTCTGTCGTTCAGAATTTCAGATGCATTCGAATGTCCAAATATGCAGAAATTCATACAAATGTCAATTAAAAATTCGTACAAATGTCAATTCGGAATGAAATGAATCGCACATGTCTAATAAAAATTAACACAAGCCTTTTCTTTCAATGGCAGTGATTATTGACTTTCCAAAATCATGGACAAATATGGGTGAAAAGGAATTACTGGTGATCACTCTAGAAGAAAATTGTGAAGAATATGAAAAAGTGAAAGAAAACTTCCTTGCCACTGCCAAACCCACAACATTTACAGTGTTGAAGGTTAATTTTTATTACTATTATTATTTTTCAGTCCCATATACGTATATTTAAACCACCAGCAAAGATGTGTCACTTAGTTGAATGAGAGGAATACCGAAGTGTACATTGGTGCATTAGCAGCGAGTAAGGAAGCGTACATGCAGTGGTCACCTGTGGTGCAGTTGCGGGGTCTATGGTGGGCTGTGAAGGATCTCTGGTGGGCTCTGTTGGGTCTCTTGGGGACTGTGCAAGATCTATGGTGGTCTCTGCTGGCTGCGGAACCCACCACAGATCCTGCACAGCCTCCTTGATACCCTGCAGAGCCCACCTTTGACCCTCACCTCAGACCCCGCAGAGCCCACCATTGACCCCACCTTAGACCCCGCAGAGCCCACCACAGATCCTGCAAAGCCTCCCTGAGACCCTGTGGAGCCCACCATAGACCTTACAGAGCCCACCATAGATCCTGCAAAGCCCCCCTGAGACCCTGCAGAGCCCACCATAGACCTCACAGATCCCACCGTAGTCCCTGCAGAGCCCACCACAGCCCCCCTGAGACCATGCAGAGTGCAGAGTCTCAGTTCTACCTGGAATCGGAATTTCTGTCCACCCAGTCCTAATATTTTTGCATCCCTGCAACACAATACAGCTCGCCGGGTAGCTTTTCTTCTGCAGTTAAGCAACACAGCTATGTCACCTCTTTGCCCCAACCTGTGATTAGACAGTGAAAGAGCAGCAACAAACTCATGAGGTCATCTCTTTGCACTCGTCTCTTGTCAGCATGTTCCTTGTCAGCACATGTGCTTACAGGAAATCTGCTTGGATCTAAGTGATCACACCCCCCACTTCTCCCAATCTGAGTGGTGCAGTTCAAGAGATTGCAAGAGGCTCAATTTCAGGTATTCACAGTAGATGTGTTAAAAATATAATTAATTTATATATATATATACACACACCTTGGAGTGTTTTTTTCCTACGACCTTAACTGGAAATGCAACAAGTAGAATGTATTGTAATGCACTGTGTACGTTGCCAAATGTCATCCAGAGTAAGCCATGCATACAGTAAATTCATAAACAATGAAGTAATTTCTGAAATGTTTTTATTTAGATTGAAAGGATTCAGAATGAATTACTATTTAAGAAATTCAGCCTAAGTAAGCAGGAGGTTGAAAGAAAAAATCCCAACCAGCAGAATGTACGCCTTCTCTACCACGGCACATATGTTGATAGCATCAAAAACATTAATGAAGAAGGATTCAATCGATCCTACTGTTCTGGTAAGTTACATAAATGGTAAGACACCTGAAAAATCCACTCCAATCAGCGATAAAGTAGATGTAAACACAGTCACCTAAATCTCATATAAGCTTTACCATGTTAATGTGACTTTCAGAGTTGGTTTCTCTCTAAATATGAGGCTTTCATCAAATGAAAACTTGGTGATCCTGAAATGAAGTTTCTATTTCAGGGACTTCCTGTTATGAGGTGACAACTGTGTCCCAGTTGTGCTCCTGCACTGACACCCTGTCACATGTGCCCCTGGTTGAGACTACAAACGGCAGTGCAAACACAATAGAGTAGAATTTATTTAATATAAGAATTTTGACCAATTTGAATAAAGGGCATTTGTTCATGCAAATGTCTTAACAAAAACATCCAAAAGATTTCACAGTATTCTTCTTATCAAGGCAAAAAGACTTTGCTAATGTCTGTGAAGGTTTTTGGTGTAAGAATCTTACCAAACACATTCAAGAGACCTCACAGTATTTTTCCAGTTTGTGGTGGTAGTGGCATTTAGTGAAGTTTGTGGGTGCAGTGGCGTTCAGTGAAGTTTGTGGGTGCAGTGGCATAGAACTTGTTTCGACGGGCTTTGGACTTGTGTTGATGGGCAGATGCAACTTACCGTGACATCAGTTTCAGAAGCTTCTGAGAAGCTTCAGAATATAGTGCAAGTGCATTTAAAAATACTTCAAAGTTGCATTGCCATAGACTTGTATGTGGAGAGAAGTAGGTCAGACACAAAAAAAATCCCACCGATACAAGCCCATAGTTTCAGCGCTGGTCTATGATACAGAGGAACATCCATTGCTGAAGAGGTTGAAGAGGGGACCCTGGCTCATCATGTGACCACATTATAGACTCCTGGAAGCAAGGCATGTATTCTGGGAATTTTTTAATATCAAATGCATGTGGAAGGCAAGGGGCATTCAAAAACTGGAGATGTGCTTTAAGTCCTTCTATCTGTATATTAATATTCCCCTGGCAAGTAAAAGTGGGAAAACATTTATACATTTTCAATATTTGCAGATGCAACACCCCTTGGCGATCACTCTTATCTCCATGGGGGAGCAGCAGACTACACTGGGGGATCATAGAGGATTTTATCTGCAAACACGTTGTGTGATTACTGATCAAATCATGGTCATGAGTGACCTTTGAACTGTCACCACCATAGCCGTGTTACGAAGGACAAAACCTATTGCCGATGCATGCTTGTTTCTCTGTGCCCAAGCGCAATACACTGTACATGTGATCCAGGCCTGGCCTCAGGGGGCGGCAGGGAGCATAAGGGCGGCACAGGTGTGGAATCTCCCGACACCCCGTACATGCAGTTCCGGGCGCCAGACGGTAAGTTGTTTTCTACATTTAGCCCTGCTTTGGGCAAGAGCTAAATGTGGAGCGGGGAAGCCACTTGTTTGTTTACAAGTGATCTCGGCGATGTCGCCAAGATTACTTGTAATAACATATAGCAGGGAGCAGAGCGGAGAACATCTGTGTAAACAGTGAGAGAGGAGAGCTGAACTTGCAGCCTTCCTCTCTCAGCTGTCACAGGAGATCCAGCACTATCACTATCACACAGGGGGATTGTTAGCTCCTGTGCGATAGCAATGAAGTTAAGTAAAAAAAAAAAATGATAAAAAATAATTAAATAAAAAAAATAAGTAAAAAAAATTATAAGAAAAAAATTATAAAAAATGAAAAGATGATAAAATAAATAAACATTTAGAAAAGTAAAAAAATAACAATTTAAAAATAAAAAAGTAATAAAAAGTTTTTACAAAATAAAGAAACAATAAAAAAAATGTAAACTAACCCTGCCGCCCCGCCATCTGGTTGCCATTCTCCATTGGGGGGGTTGGCGCATTGAGGAACTTGGCTTTGGGGCAGCAGGGAGATTAAAGCGGCCCTGGTTGTACAGCTCCATTATTTTGGTAGGCAAAATAGTCACAGATGTATTGTGAGGTTACCAATGCATATTGAAACAGCTAAATGTGGCCTGGGCATCCAGGGTTCAATGAGCCCTGGTCATTAAAGGGTTAACAAACATTTAGATTCACCATCTTCTTGCCATTGCAATCTCTGTCTCCTTCTGAACTAAAATCATCAAAATATTAAACAGGAAGCAGGAAACAATATGAATGTTGCATGAAAAATTTACTAAAAAGGGGGCATATTTATAGAGAAGTAAATGTGACATTCAGCAAACATTCACTGGTGGTGAGTCAATCATTGTCATTGAAAACACATACACCAGGAAGATTCACATGCTATGAATGTTTGATGAATGTCACAGTCACTACTTTATAAATATGCCCCTAATAATAGTAATATTACTACATGACTTTTGTCCCCCAAAAATCACATGGCAGCATGCTTGCTGAAACTTTCCTTTACTCATACATGTTCTTGTCTTGATCACATGCTGCCTGTTTGTTCTGTGTTTTGTTCTAACATGTTGCACATAACTACAGTCTAAAGACAGTCCACATTTTGAAAAAAAAATTATAAATGCAAAATTGTTTTATTTTTTTTTCGTTTTAAAATGTGTATGTATTTTTTCACGTTGGAGCCAGCAAGCGCATAGAGTGTTTGGCTTGCGTGTCTCCATTTGGCATTGTTCAATAGTCATTTTAATGTGTTTTTTGTATTTCTTTTAGTGACAGCATATGGAAAAGGGTCCTACTTCGCTGTAAACTCTGAGTACTCTTCTAGGGACATTTATTCCAAACCTGACAAGGATGGGAAGAAGTACATCTACCAGGCTACAGTGGTGACCGGAAAACATTGTAAGGGAACCCCTGAAATGAGGGAACCTCCGTACATCGGAAGTGACCCCGATGCAGGCCGCTATAATTCTGTGACAGATGACGTTAACAATCCATCAATGTTTGTGGTCTTCTATGATAACTACGCTTATCCAGATTATCTAATCACTTTCAAGTTAGGCATATAAGGATACTGTATTTACTAAATGGGAAAGGCATTAATTTTAGGAAATATGTATATAGAAAAAGAAAATCCCCCAAGCATTACATTTAGCTAAAATAGTTGAACCTGTTCGCACTAGCACACTTTTAGAAACTCTGTAACACCCTTTGAGACAAAAGTTTGACCTTTTGAATGTACCCATGCCTCTTACTATCAGTTACAGGGGTAGCGATCTGCTTTAAGTATGCTTATGCATCTTAAAGATAAACTCTTGTTTACACAAAACATTAATTTAACTATATGCTTTGATAGACACAAATGATATATATCCACTTTGTGTGCAATACATGCCTTATATTACCTAGTGGTGGCATTATCACACAGCCTGTACAGAGAGCAGAGCTGAGGGAGGGACCCAGCAAGCCACACCCACTACAAGCTGCCTGTAGAAAACTACAAGAAGGGCGGAGACAAGACCAGTCACCCTGCACAAGGAGGGAGAGCAGTCTTTCTTATAGGAAGTCCCTGTAGAGATGGAAAGTTTCATGCTGGATTGCTGCACAGATCTGGTAGAAATACACGAAGCACATCAAGATCCAAGTATGAATACACATGCCTCTGGTATTTAGATATTTGTTTATCCAGGGGTTACACTTTAAGCTTCAAATAAGTCTGACAAGGCAGGATAAGGCAAATTGCTCACATTAATACAGGCATTTATATAGTGCCAACAATGTACACCATCACATCGTTCCCTGCCCTCAAGGAGCTTACCATCTAAGGTCCCTATCTCGCATGCATAAATACCAATTTACACAGGAGCCAACCTATCAGCATGTCCTTAGAGTATGGAAGGAAACCTACACATGCACAAGGAAAACATGCAAATGCCTTGCAGACAGTGTCCTGACCAGGGACCCCCCAGGGACCAGACAAGCTTCAAGGCAGAAGTGCTTACCACTACGCTGCCCACGTAATTGCACACACCCCCTCCTCCCCTTTGTACTCATCTTCACTCCCCCAAGTATAAGCAGCTGAGAAACAGGAGTCAACTTTAAAGTAAACTTGTGCAGGCTCGCTCCCGTAATGGACTACAATCTAAAATTTAGTTTACTCATTTGTATTGAGATTGTAGTTCAAAACTGGAGCGAGCTTGGAGTGATGACTACTTTACAACACACACAGGGGCCATGGGGAACAAAAGTAGCCCCCCCTCCAGAAGGAAGGACAGTGTCAGCACCAATTCAGAGATGATTTGAGGATCTACAGCCGAGTGATACACAAATAAGATACATTTATGTTAATAGTTAAGGTACGTGAATGTATTTTTAAGGTTCAACTCCTGAGTTTAGTGTCACTTTAAATTATCTGTCATGTTTTTATTTCTAACAAAAAAAGAAGAATAATGAAGGGAATCACGGACTTCCTAAAATATTGAATATTTTTTTACCAAGGGTAGTACAAATGTTAATTTTTTTGTTTTCTTTTTGTGAACTCGTTGAACAGATTTCCCAGCTCCTGTGATGGCCGTTACAGGGGTTGCATTTGTAAAAATGTTGTCAGATGTTCTAAAAGTCTCCTTGCTGTAATAAAATACTTTTTTGTCCCCTGACAGGAAGTAAGGAGAAATCTTCCAACTGGCACACAGCTAGTAATAGCAGCCTGACAGAGGCTTTTAAACTTTACTCACTCCATCCACAAATAAAATACAAACATTTCTCTGTATTTGGACTTTAAAAGAAACCTGTAGTGAAGAAGAATGCAAGATGGTGTTCACTTCTCCTCCTGGAAATACTAGGACAGGAGAAGGTCTTTTATGATGATATCATTGTCAGGGGCTTTGCTAGAGCTGAGCACCCAGAGCACTTGACCCGCATCTCCTGTCAGGACCACTGGCCACGTCAATAGCCAGCATATCTCCCTGCCACACTGAAATAAAATTCAAAGCCGAGATTTGGCATAGACTGTGTGGTATGTACTCAAAAAAACTGTACTCCTGACTCCAGCACTTTGTGCAATACATACTCCCAGCCCCTGCACACTGTGCGTTATCTAATCCTGACCCCTGCCCTCTTTGTATTACACACCCCTGACCCCTGTACTGTGTTGCAGGCTCCTGAACTATATACATTCTATTGTACATTTCATACACTTCAGTGTGCACAAACGCATATATGTAATGATTGTGCTGAGGTTTATACATGTCTGTGACACTCTCACTTGTGACACAGCAATTAAAGTAAATGTTTGGTTACAAGGACTGTGCCATATGTGTGCCATGCATATAGTGAGTATGCTCAGGTATTTAATTAAACCATGTCCCTTTAACCCCCTTTCACGGTTATGGAAATTTGGTTACACACACTGCACCGCATTATTGCTGTCCTTACGGTGGCCTCAGGTTTTTTTACGCGATAGCTTCAGTACAGAATGTTGGTGTTGAACTTTTCACCCTAGGACAGGAAGTGTCTTACTGGCAGGATCAGCTGGGAAAATAAACGTTTACATTTTTGTTTGAATTTAGATACATTGTAAACATGTCTATGAAAACAGAGATTTGTATACACGTACTACTGCCAAACTCTGTTTTATATACACATGTAAAAATCAGGTGTACTTTGAAAAGAATGATAAAATATTTGGAGGGCTAATTTATATTGTTGATAAATTGTTCTGGTCCTGTATATATTTGTATGCCTTACAAAAACATATAGTGTACCTTTTATATTGTTTTCTTTTATAAAGGAATGCATTGCTGAAAAATGAAATCCTGTAATATAGGTAAAATATGTTACATATAACAAATTATGTCTGCAATGTTTTGTAGAAAGTGAAACAGGGTAATAAAACAATAAAAGAGTTGGTGATGCATTATTCACATTAGACTACTTCGCTGTCTGATCAATTTTTGCATTTATTGCACATTGTAGGCCTGAAGATTACATTAAACCAATAATTATATATTTTCTGAAGGCAGAGAACCTGTAGAATAAAATGGTGGCAGTTGCAACTACAGTATGTCTCACGATATTAGCACAACTATTTATCAAACCCAAATTTTCAACAAAAAATAAATTTAAATTTATTTTAGTGCACATAAAATAATACCAAATCTATTGTTAAAATATAAAAGGTTGTACTGAGTGGATAGAGACCAAACATGTCATGCTTTGAAAACTGAGTGCGCCTGTGAAATGGCAAAAAACTACGGTAGCCAAAATTATACATAGGCGATACTTTTAAAGCTTTTACAGGTTATCGGTTTGACTTAAAGTAAACCCTGAATAATGACCTCAGGATTATTGCTCTCCTGTTGACGTGCATGGTGATACCTAACGTGTGGTGCAATTGTCATTTTCGTACGTAGACGCACCTGACACGTGTTTGTGACCACATGTATAACTCCACAGGGGCCTTTGAAAAGGTGCACACAGTGCGGAAGCTTGACATGTTTGGTATCTATTCACTCATTGCAAACTTTTAATTCTATTAAACTTATTTTCTTTTTTTCTTAACTTTATTACTACAACATAATGGGCCCACAAGCCCCCTGTGTGATAGCACATTAGTGGTGGCAGGCTCTTTTTTAAGGAAACATTAGGGGTCTATTTGAAGCATGAAGATATACACAAAAGGCCAGAAGGCATGTTTTTGGTGAGAAGATATTAGGTGGAGTAAAGGAGCAACTGATAAAGCCATAATTTTGCACGAGAAAGAGAAAATAAAGAAATATTACCGAACTGTATGGAAGAAATAGGCCTCCTCTTGAAAGCCTTTGAATCAGGTCTGATGGGTACATAGACCCAAGGCATGTAATTTTAGTGCGATATAATACATTTGGTGAAATTATTTTACATAGTTACATAGTATTTGAGGTTGAATAAAGACATTAGTCCATCAAGTCCAACCTATAGGATCTCGTTTTTAGGAGTTTTTGTACCCCTGTATATTGCGGTCCCTTAAAAAATCGTCCAAAAGTTTCTTGAACAATTCCACGTTTTTTGCTGAAATCACTGCCTGTGGCAGTGAGTTCCAGACCTTAACCGCTCTAACTGTGAAGAACCCCCTTCGCCCCTTGTGCTGGAATTTTTTTTCCTATTTAAGATGTATCACTCTCTCTTTAGCAAAAAAAAAAGCATTGTCATGTGTGTCTCCTCAAATTCCTTTTATCTCTGCTTTTTTTAACATTGGCAGGAGGGGTATCCACCTCCGCTTAGCAGTTTCACATTTATATGTTTTATTATACACTATAGCAAAGTAAAAGATGGATATCAGTGTTTGTGGCCCAGATTGCAAAAGTGTTTTTTCCATAGTGGTTGGAAAAATTATAACATTTGTTAAACTTGGATGTATTTTGATAGCAGGAAGAAGATGTATATAGTAGATGGATTCTAAGGAGCTCCTTAAACAGCTGGATCATGGATTTGAATTTGCCTTCATGAAACAATTGATGAGGAAAATTCTGCATAGGGGATAATGAGATAATGTGGTAAGGACAGATTGGCCCACATGGGGTTATTTGGGCAAAGAGCGCAATTATCCTAAGGAAATGACTTAGCAACTTGTACAAACATTTTAAGAGTTGTTTTAATAATCTGGGCTCTCAGCATAGATAAGGTTGCCTTCCTATGTGAGATTACATAGGGACTTAAAATAGATAAACCAAAATCACTCAGCAGACAGGATCCTGAAGGTAAAAGATTGCTATCTAGAGGTCCCAAGCCATGAAGGGTAAGTGAAAAACACAAGTTATTCGGACTTGTGGAAACCATCCCTTACAACTATATAATGTGACAGCTGCAATGAAAAAGTTGGAGGAAATGTAAAATATTCCTCCAACCAAAAATATGATAAAACAAAGTGCACTGTGCTATCTCCCACCTTACCACTTCTCTCTGTCTGCAAACACAGCGGAGGATTTCTAGAATCATTAGACATATGCATTTGGATTCAGGCGAACCTGCAATTCAACGAAAATCAGTTGATTCGGCGGTTCGTCCGAATCCAAAATAACAAATTTAATAT